GGGAAAAAGTGCGTGAGAGTGAGTGGAAAATTCTAGAATAAAAGGGACGCCTCGTGTGTAACGGACTTTCGGGTTCCACACGAGCAAATCTACGGACAGGTCAAGACAATCAACAGTGCAGAGTGTTGTGCCTAGTGTTTACAGTTGAAGTTCGGTATTGTAAACACCGGTAGTGACATTTCGACCTCTAGTGCTGTGCAACTTCGGAAAACCTCGGTCTCCGTCGGGACTAGCCGGGGCCCAAGCCGCGCGCGCTACGCGAAATCCAACAGGCAGTTGGAAGAGCGCCCTCACCTAATAACGGGCCCTACCTTATCGACAGTGGGCATCAAGTCAACATTAGTCGGTATCTATCTATTATCGATAAGTTACCTCACCCAGAGCAGAGACGACCACCATGTCAGACGCGGAGTTAGGAGATAATCTACGTATGGATGAACGCACTGAGGAGACGCCAAGCGTAATTGAGCCAATAATCCAGATTACTGAGCATCTGTCTCAAGCGCACTTCAGTGGAGAAATTACACCACAGTTCCCGGACGCGACTTCCATTCACCAACAAGAAAGTAAACACACTGTAGCCGAGAGGGGACCTGCAATAGGCGAACTCACAGAGACTCAGAAGTTCCAAATAAATAAACTGGACTTCAAGGTAAAGTCATTTAATGATATTTATCAAGAATTGTTGCAGTCAGCCGAGAACATTAGCGGTCTCATAGTTGAGGAGTTGGACGGCCAGGAGAAAATCATCGAAGAAGAATGGAATGAATTGCTCATCATCCAAGACAAACCCAGCGAGACCCTCCTGTCAACTCATCAACATATTATTCAGACCACCTACCAGAGGGCTTCAACGCTGAATAAACCCTGCCTCAAACTCATCTATCAGCTCAAAGGAATCATCAAGAAGAGGGAATCAGCGAGTACATCAATAACATCAGGCCAAGCCAATCTACTCAAGAGAATCGGACTGAAACCATTCGAAGAAAAATACTCAGAGTGGAAGCAGTTCAGCGACCTGTTCCAATCACTGGTGGGAAAAAACGATTCAATTCCCCCAGTGCAAAAGCTAGTACGCCTCAAAGAGGCTCTCAAGGGACAGGCAGCAAGTCTCATCGACACCTTCACGGTGACCGATGAAAATTATGAGAAGGCCTGGCAGAAGCTAGTGAGGAAATATGAGGATCCCAGACTCATCGCTCAAGCACTGTTCAACAGGATCCTCAACCTCCCGAAGATCACCAAGGCAACTGCGGAGAACCTCAACGCCAATGCAGCGACAGCCCTTGAGACGAGAGATCAGCTGATCACTATGACAGGCTTGTCCAAGGAGAGCGTCAGTGAGCAGATGATCGTTCATCTATTGAGGAAGTCCCTGGATGCTGAGACTCTCAGAGCATGGGAATTGAAGCTAGGAGATTCCAAGGACTTCCCAACGCTGGAGGAGTTCACCGGCTTCGTTGAATCCTGCGCAAGAGGAATCAATGCTGGAGCCAAGCTGACCACCGAGCCTCTAGCACCATCAGTCAAGAAGCATGGAGCAACTCAACGTCAGAGAAATGCTCACCTAGCAGTAACTCAACAGAGGGAACCAGGAGAGCTCACCAGACTGCTCCCCAAGGAGCACTGTGCCTACTGCAAGGGACCACATTTCATCGCGAACTGTCAGAGGTTCGTCGACCTGTCCCCCATCAAGAGGAATGAGTTCGTGGTCAGCACAAGGCTCTGTTTCAACTGCTTGGGCCCACATCTATTCTCAAAGTGCAGGTCCACCAAGACGTGCTTCAGCTGCAAGCGCAGGCATCACACGCTCATCCACGGTGGAAGCACGTACATCAACGGCAGAGATGCTGAGCAAGCAGCTCCAGTGAACCCAACAAGAGAAGAAAATCCACAGACGGTCCAACCAGGAACGAGGTGGGCTGAGTGTACGTAAAAATCTAGTTTCCCTCTAATTTAAAAACACATTGATCGCTCTCAATTATACCTACCAGCATCCAGAGCATCACCAACACGAATCATCACCAATCAGGCGATCAGTACCTCAACATCACCTGTCATCAAAGAGCAAATCACCAAGCAGCCAATCATCGAGCAGAGCAGTCATCATTCAGCAGCTGATCAGTAATATGTACTTCTAGCAACAACCCAAGTACGAGCACAATCTCCAAAGGGCTTCCTTCTCAAAGCAAGAGTGCTCATCGATCAAGGCTCAGAGTTATCATTTATCTCTGAGGAACTAGTACATCAACTACAACTCTTACGAAGGTCATCAAAAATAGAGTTAATCGGAATAGGAGAGACTAACTCAGGTCATACGAGGGGAGCAGTATCAGTACTGCTTCAAGCAGTCGATGGATCACAGCAAATGCAAATCAATGCTCACATACTCAAGAAACTCACCGTCAAGCTACCATCATTCTCATGCTCACCAACATGGATCGACCCTCCACAAGGCCTTCAACTAGGCTATCCAGATTATCTAA